GTGTGTGTGTGTTTGGTTTATGCATCCCAGGCTGCAAAACATCTCATTGATAAAACCCCTGTGGATCAAGACAGCACAGCAACTGAAAGTGATGAACAAGCTGAACCTCAGCCATGCTCTAGTTCACAAATAGCCACTGTCCAGTTTGTACCATGGTAATCGCTTCCCTTCTCTTAGTTGATTAGTAATGTTAGTAATGTCTAATGTTAATGTAATGTCCATAGTAATGCCTATTAAGATCAGTGGCAAAACAACAGTCAGTTTGAAAATGTGTGAAGAAAAATAATTCTCCCTTTTCTTTGAATTGGAAGTGATTATTAACTATATTAATACTCACCATTAGCAGCTGCATTAATTGTATGTTGCACTCATGTGATCACACTGTCCATGCATGTAAAAACATTTATGTATCAGATTAACAGTACATACCTTTTTGTTGTCAGGATGTTTGTTTGTCTGTTTTTCAGTTTTCTAGTGTTAATAGTATTTTATTGTCTTCCAGTACACATTCACTTATCCCGAAGACCAGCCTAGAAGCGGCCTACAAATCCCTGGCCACAGGTTTAAATAAAAAAACATTTGCTCAGTTGGAGGAAGAAGTAGACAGAGAGGAGCTGGAAAGAGAAAATTTTTGCGAACAGCTTTCCATGACATCAGAGAGGTGCACAAGTGTGGACTTGGAGGAACTGTTATTTCAGAGAGACTCAGGAGGCCCTATGGAAGCTGCCCCAGCAGACCAACCAACACAAGCAAATGCCATTCCTCCAATTTGGGCAGATTTACACTTTAAGAATCCGATTGTGCTGTGTAAAAGAGAGAACTACACTGTGTCTCGGCTGGTGGTGGAACCAGACAGTCAGGCAAGTTCACGCTGCACAACCGCTTTAGAGGAACTGGAACCTGAGGTCAGAAGGAAAAAAACACCACAGACACTGTCTGCATCTAATGAAAAAGACCGTCAGTGTCGGGGAACAGACAAAAAAGGTGCCACACCCACCCAAAAGAGCCGCATTCAAGCCAACAGAACTCGCACCAGGTAAGTTAAAGTAGCAAATAGCAAGATGTTTTTGCTATCCGGTCTTTAAGTCTGACGTCATTAGCCGTGCCTGGGCCCAAACTCCGCTGCAGGTCCTTAAGTCAAACGATCACTGCAGCATCACTGAGAGTTAAAAACTGTCTAAATTCTTTCATCTGTAATAAAATGATCAGTGTGGCTGCTCTACCAGGTGTAACAATTAAGTTTAACATCCAGGCATCCATGAAAACAAAATCTATGAAGTTTAACGGAGTTAGAAGTTAGCAGGGAGTTAGCTCGCTAGTTTCCATCTAAATATAATATAGCATGTTCTGACTGAGGGATTTCTGAAAAAATTAAGACGTACAACTCAGCTATCACTTCCGACATAAATGAAGACAGAAAAGTAAACAGCAGTGACTTTTGTAGGGTTACTGAAGTTGGGCTAGCTGGTATATAATGATGTGCTACGTGATCGCTAGCGATCATATAAACAGTGAAGCTGGAGGATGAACGCTAACCTTTTTCAACTCGATAAAAAGTTAATGTGAGGGTTCCCGAAGGTTAGGGACAAATGCAATCGCATGGCAGGATGCTGTAAACGGACCAAACTTCAGTCAGGACTGAGATAATCCATCCACAATATGAGGTTAGTCATTAATATACTGCTGCGTGGGCTGGGCTGCAGTTACATCGTAAGGTTTTAAAAACTGAGATTTAAAATGATTAGCTGTAATAAAAACTGAGAGAGGCCGACAGTGATCACTGACTGTTTTTAGGGACTTGAGATTAAATAGAACAAGATACAAAGCATTAAAACGTGTTAAATACACAACAGCCTTATTAAACACAGAGTAGTTTGGGCCGGGAAGCAGGATTCATCACGTCCTCACTTAAAGACTGGATTGTTTCGCCTCGTCCATGCCCCACAACTTATGTCTGCCCCTCAGTTTGAGAACCACTGTGTTATGTGAAAGTTACTGTTTAGTAGATACTGTATACAACATTAAAAACAGTTTGTTTCAGCTGTTTGAGTTGACTCCTCTGACTCTGCATCCAGCAGGGAAAGTTATGCTGCAGCACAGCAGTTTGATGGTTTAAGATAAGATAACCTTTATTAGTCCCACACGTGGGAAATTTGTTTTGTCACAGCAGGAAGTGGACAGTGCAAAAGTTATGAAGCAAAAATTAGAATACAATAAGAATAAATACAGTACACAACTGTACAGAATAGAATAAAATAATATACTATATACAGTAGAATAAAATAGAATAAAAATATACAATAAGATAAAAATAGAATACGAATGCTATATACAACTGAGTAAAAATACAACGATGCCAGAAAAGATTATTGCACTTAGTGTTACTAAGCAATAAGTCCAAATGTGCATTTCTCACCTGTTACTGGTTACTAGAGTGTCAGTTTTCAATGTTTGAACTTATTTTATAATAACTTTGATGTGAAAACTAATAACAACCATCAATCCATTTTTCTGCTACTTATCTGGCTCTGGGTTATGAGGGCAGTAGCCTGAGCAAAGATGTCCGGATTTCCCTATCCCCAGCCACCTGTTTTAGGTCTTCTGAGGGTATATTTTGTTTTCACCATGTCAGCCAAATCACTCCAGCATGTCCTGGTCTCCTTCCAATTAGACATAGCAGAAAACACCCAATTAAGTCCTAAATCCTAGTAGGATGCTAAAAAAAAAAAAAAACAACTCACCCAACTGTCTTCTTTAGGTCCACAACATGATTGATATTTGACCAGTTTTATTTATTTATTCAGGAATCAGGATAATATGGACGTCAGCCGTACCACATCCTCTTCAGTGGAGAGCTCACCAAGTGAGTCACCTTCTCATCCTGTCCGACAAACAACCTCCACTCCTCACAAGGACTCTGGTCAAAAGAAAAGTCCTCGTCTTTTAAAATGGTTAGTTAACGCCAGTAACTGAGAAACTAAAAGTGGTAGAATACACCTGGGTGAATATTTCACCCAGCGTGATTGAGTAATAGTTCTAATCATTTTTAATTTTTATCTTTTGTAGTTGTGCTTAATCATTTTGCCAAACAAAAACACACTCTGGATCTTATTCACAGGAAGCGACTGTACCATGATGCACAGGAGAGCAAGGGCGACGGAGAGTCGTATGTTACCCCTAACAAGAGCGGTATGTAACACTTCATTAAATATAAAATGTTTATAAATATTCAATAAGACTAAAGCAAGTTTGCCATCTGAAACATCTGGTTTTAATGTTTTTCTGTTTGTTTGTTTTTTTGCCTTCCTACAAAGGCTCAGACATGAGCACCATTTCAAATTCAGGCCAAAGGAAAAGGGTAAGTATAGCAAAACATGCTACAAAGCTAACCCGTCACTGTACTTTCCTGTGGATGTTATTTATAAATTTATAAATATAAATAATTAATTTATAATTTATTCACATAAATTACACTAAGTCAAACTCTTTGTTCAATACAGGCATCTCCATTTACAGTTTAGCATATATATTTTGTTCCTGTTTTGCACAAAAAGTACTCATTTGCAACCATCATACAAATGTAAGTTCCTGTATGAATTAATGCAGTACACATGAGGACATTTCACTTTAGTCAGTTACATTAAAAACAATTGAAACAATGTTTGGACTCTCCACAGTAGGAAAAAGCTAACAAATCTTTCGATTGTGTTGCAGAAATGGACAGAGAGTGAGACGCAGAAGTTAAAAGACGGGGTCAAAAAATTTGGAGAGGGCAACTGGTGTAAGATAAAGGAACACTACGGCTTCAAAGATCGAACAAATGTCAACCTGAAGGACAGGTGGAGAACAATGAAGAAGTCAAATATCGTCTGACTCACCAATGTCATTTTTTATCCCATCTCCATTTATTTATTTTTGTTTCTTAAGCAAGTTATTGATAATTTTAAAAATTAGTTTATAGATTTGGTAAATGTTCAGTGTTCACGGCTCAAAGATTGTTTTGTTTTGAGGAAGGGATAAAATGTTACTGTAAGAATAAAAATCTTTGATAGTCTCTTTTTGTCTGCATCTTTATGTTAATGTGTTCTCATTTGTGTTTCACGGGGTCCTAGAGGATTACATGACATGACTCACACGTCCCTTTAGTGAACAAGGACAAAATCCAAGGTCCAAGATTCCAGAAGTGACACTGCAAAATAAAACATGTTTCCTTTTCTCCACTTCTCCAATAACTGTCTCACTTTCATATTCTGTGAAACTGTTCTTTGCTGTCATTTTCATTTATGCGTGTAGTCCAATTAAACCCGTGTAGACTGAAATATCAGTGAGCTGCCTTAAAATGAAGATTTAAGTAGGAGAGTAGTGAAATGTAGCAGATGGAAAAAATTATATATACCAAAAAAACTGCGTTAATAATGCCTTTACAATGTAAACATGTTACTTTCTGCTACTGTACTATTTTTTTTTTTATCCAAATACATTTCTTTCTAAACAATACCAGTTATTTTTAGGCTTTAATTTTTATTTTTTGGCCCATAAATTGCATTATTATCATTCAAGATCCCCAGGAAAATAAATGAGGCATTATTAAAATGTCACAACGGTTTTAATGGCTCAAAACTGTACAGTGCTACAGCAACAAGATAGTTTGCCTAGTCGAGGTTTCTGTAGCAGCTTGGTGTTTGTGCGGTAGGAAAGCCCTGCTTTCTCATCTGGGATTGAAACCTGGATTATCAGGGCTTGATAAATCAGAGTTAGTTAAATCTAGATCAGGTATGTGTAAAAACAAATTGTTTAAGGCAAAAAAAAAAAGGAAAGAAAATGCAAAAACAAAATCACTGTTAAAATTGAATGTCTAAAGCGTAATGCGCCTTCCAGTCCAGTGTGTGGCAGCACGAGGTTTTGCGAGTATACGATTTGCCAATGAGTTCAAAGAGTAAGTGTAAGATTTAGTTCTTTTCTTTTCTTCTTTTTTTTTTTTACTCTAAATTGAGACCAATGTATTGTTATACGTAGTATTAATTGAGAGTTGTCTCAAAGGGTGTCTTCTGGGGTAGTTGACCTGGTTATTAACTTCTGTCCGACAGAGATAAAGAGTATTGTAAGGAAAAAATGAAGAAAAGATGGCAAAAACAGTGGCAAGAGGAAAGAGGGCGGGGAGGGGGAATGAGAAGCACAGGGCAGGAAGGAGTAGGAGAGAGGAGGGGTTTTTTTTGTTTGTTTTGTTTTTTTTTTAGGAGAGAGGAGGTGGTCATATCCAGAATAAGATTTGAACATATTGGTTTAAACACTACACTATTCATAATGGGGAAACATAATACAGGGAAATGTGACTACTGTGGAGAAGAGGAAACTATAGAAGTATCAGGTGGAGAGAAGTCAGCTGACCCCAAACCTCAGTAATATGAAAATGAAACTAGGTCTTGAAAAGGTCTCGTGAAAGTTATCAGGCCTTATTCCGGTTTTTAAAAGGGGGTTTGGGAGGATTTGAGGGGGGCGGTGTGAGTGACGTTCCGTCCACACTCCATACCAGTTGGTGGCGGTAATGCACAATTCAGCTGTTTGCCAACCGCCCATAAAATTTAGAACTGAAAGAAGAAAAGAAGAAGTCTTCCGTTGGATATGAACGTTTTGTCTGTTTTTGTATGTGGTGTGTGTTTTGTTTTGTCTTTTTTTACGCTTTTGCTGAATTCTGCCTCTAAAGAATTGGAATGAAGCGCCACCTGACAAGCTAAACCCGGAGATTGCCTATGAATATGGCGGCAAAAGAAAACGTAAACAGTCGCCAATTTGATACTGAATCCGTGGTGAACCGCTGGGTAGTGGATTATTATTTGTTTTTGGCGCTAGAGTTGTTTAAAAAGGAACAATATGAGGATTTCTGTGCCGTCACAGATGTACTCGACAGTAAGTAACAATCAGTTTAGCGTGTTTTGACTAGCCTACGTATCTCTGGGATTACTAGAACTATGTTTTGCAAGCTTGTTATCCTTGAAAAGTGAAGAAGTGCTCTATATATGTCAAAGTGTCACGGTTCGTGTGCTGGACTAATTGTGATGTAGGTTCGTGGTTGCATGTCCCACTGGTTTATGTCATTTATGTGACATTTTTATCAATCTTGTTTTTATTGTAGATACTTATATTATTTTGCTACTGCCTACTACTTGTTTCATCAAAAAAAATAAATATGCATTTTTTAGCCTTTTGATTGTTTTCTTACAGGTGTCTTGGTTCGTCCTTATGGGCCCATTGATTTCATGCCACAAAAGATTCAAGTGTGGCGGTTTCTTTGCCGGATAAATGAAGGTGACAAACCTGGTGAGATCAACATTGACCATTTATTATCACACATCTGTCAGTCTGATTCATGGTAGTGCTTCTTTTGCATTGTGAATAAACACTAAAATGAACCTGTTTTTTTTTTGTTTTTTTTTCTCCCAGCTGCAGACACGTCTTCTCAGTCGGTATGTCCTCTGGAATCAGCCCTAATGTTGCTGGAAAGTATGAGCCAGGAGTTCAGTATCCCACAACAGGATTACAAGAACGTATGCACTTCAATTAAAGAAATGGTAAGCATGTTCCTTATTGTTTTTTTTAAATCACCTATTCAATTTATGCACATGATTCGTTTTTACATTCCCTTTCACAAAAACATACAGACATACTATTTTGTTTAATCAGAGACTGTAAATGAAATTATTATGCTGCTAACTTGATGGTGTAAATGCATGGGCGAGTGTGTGTACACATCTTCTTTTTTTTTTTTTTTTTTTTTGTGCCAAAGGATGAATACATGAACTTACTAAGCCTGAGCTAAATTCATGTTTTTACATTATTAATCAGGTTTCCCAAAATACTGATTCTGTTCATCTGGATGTAGCATTTTCAGTGGGAGAAACATTTCATCACTCATCCAAGTACCTCACAGCCCATTGTTCATTCAGTGGGCTGGTTTCAGTTATTGTGCAAATGTACTGTTTATAAGGTTGGGGAAACCTGCAGTAGCTGAGACTGTCGAAGTCACGTGGATGAGTGACGAAACGTTTCTCCCACTAACACTACGTCCAGGTGAACAGAATCAACCTTCTGGAATTTACTTACCTGGATCATTGAGCATGCATCAAGACATTAATCAGGTTTTTTCAACAAGTTATTTGTTTCTGTCTTTAGATTATAATGCTTTCTATTAAGAATGGAAAATTTGAGAAAGCAGGAAAGGTGCTGAACCAGCACTTTACCAAGAAGATGGATGGCAGGGTGAGTTCACTAATTAAAACATATTTTTCCTTAAGCAATATTCTTTGATTTTTTTATCTTGGTAACTCTATTCACATTGATTGCCATTTTGACATTATTTACAGTGTTAAAATTAGTAGTTATAAAAATGCTGTGTAAAAGCAATAAGAGTAGGGGTACTTGGTTAAATCATGCTTGCGGAAGATGGGCGGAGGGCTTTTTAGCTTTAATTGTAAACACCAAAAGATTATTATACTAAATTATTGATGGTGATTCATGAAGTTTTTTAGGTGTTCATGTAGTGTCTTATATTAATGAAATATTTGTGTTCTGTGTAGAGAATGCTGTTCATGGGTCTCATCAGCAAGAAAAATAAAAAGCATGAAGTAATTGAGCAAATCAACTTTGGACGGTTCAAGATGGAGATGCTGGCTTTTTGTGAAAGGCTCTGCCCATCAAGCGTTCCCTTTCTCCAAAAGGTATGAATGCTATACTTAAGGTAAAGGCTTTGTAGTTTGTTTGGGTTTTTTTGGTTTCTTTTTTGGTTGTTTGTTTCTACTTTGTGATCAGTAGGAAATGTTTGCCTGTGACTTCTGTTTATTCTGTTGAAAAACAATTAACAAAACATTGTGGATTTGTCTGTAACATAAAAGTCTTTACACTTACACTATATAAAAGGTGTATATTTTTGTGTAATTCTATCAGGCTGCAAATCAGCTTATTCAGGAAAAGAATAAGGAACAAGACAGCAGTGCAGCTAGAGCTGATGAGCAAGTCCAACCGGTCCCCTCTTCAAGTCCACAAGTAAACATGGTCCAGTCTGTACCATGGTAAGATATCTGTCCCTCTCAGGTGATCTGATCAAATCTGATCTAATCTGATCAGATTAGGTTTTATTAGATCCTAATAAGTACAGTTACCCTTATCTGTGCTGAGTATTTGCACATTGTGCTCTCTTATAGTCTTAAGCTGCCCGGAGCCCTCACACAAATGCCCAGAGAAAAATCACTCCCCATCTGGACTGGGAATTGCAAACATCCATCACAGATGACTGTTTTAAATTTATTACAAATGAGAAATGTGGTCGTAGTTTCTTCATTATTCAGTAATAGTGAAAGCTATTTCAATTCTGAAATTCAGTACTACTTCCGTTAATATATTGCACACTCTGTATCTACCCCTTGTCAATGCTGGGCAGCATAATATCAGTTGAGAACGATTGCAGCTTGAAAATCCAATTTAGATTTCCATTTTTTTTATTCATTGTTGTTTTTTATGATATTTTCAGGAGTATTAGATTCAGCAAACCATAAAAGGTTTAATTAGGTCCCCTTAACTTTAAAAATACACAAAATAAATCAATATAATCCCAAATTTTTTTCAATAATAATTTGCTCTCTGGTGGCCACTTGAGTACAGTGAATGCAACAAAGAACCAGTTTGAAATGATGTGAGCCTTGTAACAGAGCATGTTATACTGCTGGAGGCGGCTGTCAGTGTACATTTGGGCCATAAAGAGATGGACAGGACCAGCAGTAGCACTCAGGAAGCCTGTGGCATTTAAACAGTGTTCAGCTGGTACTACGGGGCACAAAGTGTGCCAGCAAAAAATATTCCCCCACACCATTACACTAGCATTGCATGTGTTATGCATTCAAACATGCTCTTCTCCATACATTGGTTGTACTGAGTGGTTACTGTTTACCCCCTGTTGGCTCAAAGCAATCCGCCCATTTTCCTCTGAACTTTATCAGGTTGTCTTGACCATGTCTACATGCCTAAAGTTTCTGTGCTATCATGTGACTGGCTGACTAGATGTTATCGTTAACAAGCTGGTGAACAGGTGTACCGATTAAATTAGCAAGTGAGTGTGAAAAGTTAAATATGTGGCGAGACATCCTTTTTCAGCCCCTTTTCCTTGTCTGCATCTTAATTTCCAGCAAGCATTCAACTATCCAGAGGACCAGGCTAGAAGCAGCCTACAAAGCCTTGGCTACAGGATTAAATGAGAGAATGTTTTCTCAGCTGGAGGAAGAAGTGGAGACAGAGGACCAGGAAAGCGAGCATATGTGTCTGCAACTCTCACCTGATCCTAAAATGGACACCAATTTGGACTTGGAGCAGGAAGTGTTATTTCAGAGAGACTCAGGCAGCCCCATGGAAGCTTCACCGGCAGACCAACCACCACAAGCAGATGCTGTTCCACAAACTCAGGAAAGTTCGCTCTCAAAGACAACTTCTGTGCCATGGAACGGACAGCTTTACACTCTGTCTCGGCTGGTGATGGAACCAGATAGTCAGGCAAGTTCACAGTGCTCAAAGGTTTCAGAGGAACTAGAGACCGAGGCCAGAGTAGAAGAGGCACCACAGACACTGGCTCTGTCAAATAAAAGAGACTCACAGTGTCCAGTCACTGACCAAGAAGTTTCCATACCAGCACCAAAACGCCACAGAAGGACCAACAGAATTAACAGGAGGTACTTATATTTGTTTTTTTTCTTTTCCAGGAAAATGATTAGTAGGCACTATTTTCTTACAAGGTTGTAAGGTTTTGCATTTCAGCTTACTTTTAGTATTTGTTTAATCAGTGTATGGCATTAAACCTTTTTTTTTTGCTTTCGTTTACAGAGTTTCAACTAGTTTTGCTGAGTTGTCAGCAGAGAGTGAGGAGGACTCTCCTCATTCTGTGGCCAGCACGGCAGTTAGTGTGAGACGTCATAACCAGTCCAGTAGTTCACCCACCAGGTAAAATATTAGAACTCTTAACAATAACCAGAAAGCCTTCACCGTCGTTAGAGCAAAGTATTCATGTATTGTCAGTTTGTTTGTAATTACGGTATTGACTGTATCTCCTTGTTTTAAGCTAGCTCAATATTAATGCTAATAAAAGTTACTCAGGTCAACTTACACTTAACAATAAACTAGTTAAAGCAGCTATTATACTCGGTTGCCCACGGTGACTCAGACAACTGTCCACACAATGAATGAATAGTTATTCCTGTTTTAGTTCTTTGAAGTCTGACTGAAGGGTGTGTGCGTAGTTGATGTTCTGTAATGTTTTCACAGACATATCCAGACAGTCACAAATCATTGGCAGGCATATGGATGTCAGCACAGAGCCTCATGAAATTTATGTAACTCAGAACCGACAGCGTGTAGTAAAACACATGAGACATGAAGCTCAGAACTCTAAACTATCCTCACTCTCTTATGTTTCCCCCTCCTCTCTAATGTGAGGGTTCAGTGCAAGTGAACATCATCAAATACACAAAAGTGTATTTGATGATGTCATTTAGTTAATAGTAATTGTTTTTTTAATTAGAATTACTCTTTGTTTTATTACTTTGGTGCTTAAAAACACATATATTAAACACTACAGATAAACAGTATAGTATCTTTCAGATCTCCAGTCAAAGCAAATGTTACATTTTGAAGATAATAGTCTAACAGTCTAACTCTTGTCTAACAGAAACATCAACAAGTCAAAACAGTCGTCATCAGACAGTGAAGGAGAACCACAGAAGCTCTCAGAGCCTTCAGTGAAGGTCTCTCCCAGTCTGCTCCCTCTGCACTCTGTTCCTCAGACAAGCTCCACTCCTCACAAGGATTCTGCTCAACTCAGCAACAACTCCTATTCAAAGAAGTGAGTAGAGATAACACCAGTAGTTTTGGCTATGAATAGATAGACGTCATATGTTCAAGTGTTCATCTTGAGTGTAAGATAAGTGATTTACTTTGATTTTTTTTTTTTATTGGCCACAAAGATAACAGCAGTGAAATTACAGATGGGGAACACTGTAACTTGTTAAATACTTTATCAAGCATGGCAAGTCCATATGTACAGCTTCACTTTATACAGGCTTGACATGTCTTATAGCTAAAGATCTACTTTGGAGAACATTAACAATAACTTATTTTTCTGATGTTTGCTGTGCTGCACATTAACTGAAAACATTGAAAAACGGTTATAGATTTTTAGATTTCAAAATGAATTACTCTTACCTACGATGTATATGACACCAAAGCAATCGTCTTAATATACATTGTAGCTTAAGAGGCTGGATGGAATCATTTCAAACTATGGAGCAGAAAAGTGTGAATTAATGGAGAGAAAGAAAAAAAAATTCCAACAGAAGAGACGTGCAAAAGACTAAGATTAGCTCAGAAAAAGAAAAACACATGAAAGAACTAGCTTCATCAGAGACCCATTTAAGATTACTGAAGACAACAAAGAAATCCCTGGAAGAACACCTTGGAAAATGCACTCTGACCCTGCAAAGTCAAGGGTCAGAGTCCATCATCAAAGGAAAGCTCTCCAACCAAAGGTTCTCAATTGACAACAAACAAAAAGCAATGCTATCTGAGAAATCCATCAGAAGATGCTATGATGCAAATCTCAGACCGTGAACAGATCGAGCAACTCAAGCAGGATGCTTGTAGGGACCTCGAGAAATTTGATCACTCTATGCTCAAAGCTTTGGGCCTTCCAGTTTGGCTTGCTGCCTCATGTACATTTTCTCAAAAGCGACTTATAAATTTATTTATAAACTTAAAGTTGGTTAACAGCTTTGTGGCATGATTGACTCTCATTTGTACTCTTCCCAGATCTAATCATACTCGTTGAAAGTCTAGCCAGCCTCTACAAAAAACTATTGCATCAAAAATAAGTTTGTCTTTGTTTCCTCATCTTTCTTCTATTGTATTGCTTCGTATTCTTAAATCTCTGTATCTACATCATGGTTTAAGACCTGATCATTTTTGCAATGATAGTGTATCCCCCACATATTTTGTTTTTTTATGAAGAAGTTATTTATTGAAACATTTATATACAGGGAGTGCAGAATTATTAGGCAAATGAGTATTTTGTCCACATCATCCTCTTCATGCATGTTGTCTTACTCCAAGCTGTATAGGCTCGAAAGCCTACTACCAATTAAGCATATTAGGTGATGTGCATCTCTGTAATGAGAAGGGGTGTGGTCTAATGACATCAACACCCTATATCAGGTGTGCATAATTATTAGGCAACGTCCTTTCCTTTGGCAAAATGGGTCAAAAGAAGGACTTGACAGGCTCAGAAAAGTCAAAAATAGTGAGATATCTTGCAGAGGGATGCAGCAGTCTCAAAATTGCAAAGCTTCTGAAGCGTGATCATCGAACAATCAAGCGTTTCATTCAAAATAGTCAACAGGGTCGCAAGAAGCGTGTGGAAAAACCAAGGCGCAAAATAACTGCCCATGAACTGAGAAAAGTCAAGCGTGCAGCTGCCAAGATGCCACTTGCCACCAGTTTGGCCATATTTCAGAGCTGCAACATCACTGGAGTGCCCAAAAGCACAAGGTGTGCAATACTCAGAGACATGGCCAAGGTAAGAAAGGCTGAAAGACGACCACCACTGAACAAGACACACAAGCTGAAACGTCAAGACTGGGCCAAGAAATATCTCAAGACTGATTTTTCTAAGGTTTTATGGACTGATGAAATGAGAGTGAGTCTTGATGGGCCAGATGGATGGGCCCGTGGCTGGATTGGTAAAGGGCAGAGAGCTCCAGTCCGACTCAGACGCCAGCAAGGTGGAGGTGGAGTACTGGTTTGGGCTGGTATCATCAAAGATGAGCTTGTGGGGCCTTTTCGGGTTGAGGATGGAGTCAAGCTCAACTCCCAGTCCTACTGCCAGTTTCTGGAAGACACCTTCTTCAAGCAGTGGTACAGGAAGAAGTCTGCATCCTTCAAGAAAAACATGATTTTCATGCAGGACAATGCTCCATCACACGCGTCCAAGTACTCCACAGCGTGGCTGGCAAGAAAGGGTATAAAAGAAGAAAAACTAATGACATGGCCTCCTTGTTCACCTGATCTGAACCCCATTGAGAACCTGTGGTCCATCATCAAATGTGAGATTTACAAGGAGGGAAAACAGTACACCTCTCTGAACAGTGTCTGGGAGGCTGTGGTTGCTGCTGCACGCAATGTTGATGGTGAACAGATCAAAACACTGACAGAATCCATGGATGGCAGGCTTTTGAGTGTCCTTGCAAAGAAAGGTGGCTATATTGGTCGCTGATTTGTTTTTGTTTTGTTTTTGAATGTCAGAAATGTATATTTGTGAATGTGGAGATGTTATATTGGTGTCACTGGTAAAAATAAATAATTGAAATGGGTATATATTTGTTTTTTGTTAAGTTGCCTAATAATTATGCACAGTAATAGTCACCTGCACACACAGATATCCCCCTAAAATAGCTAAAACTAAAAACAAACTAAAAACTACTTCCAAAAACATTCAGCTTTGATATTAATGAGTTTTTTGGGTTCATTGACAACATGGTTGTTGTTCAATAATAACATTATTCCTCAAAAATACAACTTGCCTAATAATTCTGCACTCCCTATACAGTGCTTTTAAGCTCATGACATTATTGGTAGCCAATGAAGAAACACAGACACTGCTCACTTAAAACCACAGTGTACAAGTTTAAACCAGATAACAGCTTAAAGCATTAGTAGTGATTTAGCATTTTGCAGTTAAAAGTTTCTCTCTAGTTGTACACATTGTGCTGTTCCTTTTTATAAAACCTGGCTGTTTAACTTCAGAAATAAAGAGTAAAACATCATTTTAATCACCAATCACTCAAAACAGGTCGTTCTTTTTACAGAATATCATTGACTTTTTTTCTCATCTTGCAGAAAGTCTAAAAAGTCAATACGGTTATCGTCAGACAGCGAGGAAGACCCGAAGGAGCCTGTGACCTGCAAGAAAACTCCAGTACAAAAGCCTCATAAGCAGCTGTCCAGTGATCCTGTGGACAATCAAGTGTAACTACAGAATCTTGTATTTTATACCGGTGCTCTAGACGACTAATTAATCATATGATATTTGACCAGTTTTATTTACTTTGACAGGAATCAAGATGATACGGATGACATCCATATTACAGACTCTTCAGTGGAGAGCTCGCCAAGTCAGTCCCCTTCTCACCCCATCCCACAAACGAGCTCTACTCCTCACAAGGACTCTGCTCAAAAGAACGTCCATTCCCATTTAGAATGGTTAGTAAACACCAATAAGTCTGAGAAAGTAGCAAGAGGACTGTAATATGTTAAAATGTAACATTTTGAATGCTTTATCCTTTTGATTGGTGCACATTTTGATTTGGTTTGAAGGTGTGAAGTTCCAGTCAATGATTTAGGGTGCCATGTCATCTGCTAGCGCAGGTGGCAATTGGTCTGCTGTGTTCTATTAAGCACAAAGTACACAAAGCAGGCTCTTACCAGGACATTTTAGACCAGTCTGTGCTTCCATCTGGAGATGCTGGTTTCCTTTTCCAGCAAGACTTAGCACCTGTCTACCCACAAGCTGAAAACTGTTGTCAAAGCAACCTGAGCTTTGATAACATTTCAGCAGTTACTCAAGCTAATTGCCTCCATGCCACACCACACTGATGCAGCAACTCATAGCAAAGGAATCCTAACCAAGTGTTTGATTTCTAAATAAAAACCCAGTATGAAATTAGTATACTCGATATTTCTGTTTTTAACAATCTGAAATCATGGATTTCTGATTTTTGAGCTACGGGTCATATTCACTTTTTTATGGTTAGAAATATTTAACATTACTCTATAAATATAGAATAAAGTTGACTATTTTTGAATTGTAAATGTCTCATATTGTTTTTTATATGCACTAGTCATTAGCTGAGGATATTTAATATGTGATTACATGCAAACACACGCGAGTATTCCTCCCAGCATATCTGATTAATAGCCCTAATTATTTTTATCTTTTGTAGTTGTGCTTAATCATTTTGCCGAACAAAAACACGTTCTGGCTCTTATTCACAGGAAGCAACGGTACCATAATGCAAAGGAGACCAAGGAGGTATGGAGCGACGAAGAATTATATTTTACCTCCAAAAAGAGAAGTAAGTAATAGTTCATTGAATATTCAACTCGAATTCATGGAGTTTAGATGATGGGGTTCAAATAATTTTGTGTATTTATTTTTTTTCTTCCCACAAAGGCTCAGACATGAGCACCATTTCAAATTCAGGCCAAAGGAAAAGAGTAAGTATAGCAAAACATGCTGCAAAGCGAACTGGTCACATTACTTTACTGTTGATATTTGTACTTAAATGCCTTTGTCACATAAATGTGTGGAATAGTCCATAGGGAGGACTTCTTGTTCAATATCACACAGTAATTTGCTGCTTTGCCTTTTGTTGCCATCATACAAATTGAAGTTCCTGTATCAAAACCATTACATGTTCAGTCACTTGCACTGGTATTACAACTTGATGTTGTCATTTTTAGACTTCCCACAGTGGCAAATGGCTAACTGACATGTTTTTACTGTGTTGCAGAAATGGACAGAGAGTGAGACGCAGAAGTTAAAAGACGGGGTCAAAAAATTTGGAGAGGGCAACTGGAGCAAGATAAAGGCATATTACAAATTCAAAGATCGAACAAATGTCAACCTGAAGGACAGGTGGAGAACAATGAAAAAATCAAATATCGTCTGACTCACCAAAGCCTATTTCATTTTATCCCATCTCCATTTATTTGTTTTGGTTTCCTTAACAAGTTACTGAACATTATAAAAGCCACTTTAAAATTTTGTAAATGTTGAATGTTTGTGGGTCAAAGATTGTTTCTTTTTGAGGAAGGGATAACAGAAATTGCAGTAATAGTGACTATTGTAGCATCTCTGCAGCCCTAAATGACAAACCCACTCATTGAATTGATACAGAGATGGGAATAGCTTTAAAAGTCAGTATGTTACTCAGTCTTATGATCTCGGAAAAGCAGAACAGACCTTTAATTAAAGATATGAAAGCTGCAAAATATCCATATAGCTAAGATCTACAGGTAATTTTTTCCTCCCACACAAACTATTTGTAGAAAAAAGATTTAAATTTAAATAATACAGAGATGTGGATTTATTTCAAGATTCAAGTTACAAAAAACATACACACATAAACAAAACCCTTCTCATTTAATACAACAGGGAGGGGACAAACCAGGAAATTCTGCAAATGGCAGAAGTGAGTCAATAGACAGATTGTTTGTTTTAGCCTCTGGACTGTAGGGAAGTGTTCCAAGTATAACAGCTGCTCGTGAAATAGGAACTTTGATCAGATCATGTCACTATAAAATGTTTAGCAGCTAAAAGTGAACCTTTGACTTTGAGTGAGTGTTACTGTTAAAAATAAACAGTTTGACAGTCCACTTGTTTCTGCATCTTTATGTTAATGTTTCCTCATTTCTTATGAACTCGCCGACATCAGCCTGGTGGAACACAACGATAGACATGGGGTCCACTCGCCGACACTCCTGCGTAGACTTGGCCGCCACACCAAAACCCTGAAGATTAAGATAAACAGCCAGCCTATAAGTGCCTTTTGTCATATAACCTTGAGTTAATCAGGTATTAACCTCTTTTTAGTACATGAGTGGATCTATCCAATACCCTATTGTGAATACATGGCACTGAGGAAAACAAAACATCTGCATAATATGTGCTTTGTTTTCCAGCATGAGTGTTACCAACAGGAATACGTATCTTTGTTGTACTGTGAATACTGCCCATAACAGTGTGACAAGAAGATCAACCTTTAAAGGACTTACCAAAGGCACATCTGCCATGGAGTAAACCACAACTCCCTGATACTGCATCGTGTTCTCAGTAATTCTGCCAAGACCAGATTTTAGCACGTGGTTCCCATACAGGAAAGACTGCTCTGTTCCAGGTTTCACCCACACCTTAAACTGAATACATGATAGTTTCAAGTTATTCATACATGAATGAATGAGTCCAATATGACAGCACAGATGAAAAGCTTGAACAATTAAGAGAAAGCCTAGAATTTCTAAGCACACAGAGCTACTTCTCTCTTGTTCTCATAATATTTATAAACGACTTAATACAGGTTCTCGCCATTTAGGGTCTTCAAAAAGCAAAAAGATATGCTGCAGATATGAATCTTCTCACCTATGAACTTCAATTTGAAAAATAACAGCCTGTTTATAAGTATAAACAAACTTTTGTACAGCACAATTTTTCATGCAATAAATCTGTAATAGCACACAGAATTGCACATGAGCCTGCAAATCATGTCCAGTGTTTCCCAGCAATGAACAATGATTTTATTTCTGATTGAATATTTTGATTCTCCATCTGTATAGTAAACAGCTGTTTATGCATGTGAAAAACAATTTCTACCCGTTGTGTGTCACTGATCCTAAAAACTGGTTATACTCACTCCACTACTTTACATTTTTGCTGTAACTCTTTCAAAAACCCTTCTGGAAGATGATCTAGTGGCATAATTCAGAATGAGCCTCTACTATAGAGGACTTTAGTAATACCCGTATTGTTTCGTTTCCTACATCTTATTTAAGCTCCGCTTGGTATATTGGTGGGAGGGAATGACTTGGCTGTGTGTTGTTTATAGTCACCTTTGCATATGGAGCAAGGAAATCCAGGGCTGTGATGTGCAGGCGGAACTTCTTGGTCTTTGTAAACTTCCCAAAACACGTACCCACTGACATGAGTTTGTCCCGGGAAAAGTTGGTGGCCAGCTTTAAAATTTTCTCACTGTGGACAGAAAACCAAACGCCTTAATCCTTACATGTACGGACAGGTACCCAACATGCGTGTTAATTAACCAAAATTACCTCATGTAGTAGACTCTGTCATGGTGCAGCCTGAAACAGTAAACGCCGTCTGGTCGGTCCACTAGAAGTTTTATGTTTTCACCAATGCTGTTACAAGAGAAAACACATGGATCACACACACATTCACAGCGTGAGCTACCGGGCTTGCTGAACGTGTTGGTATAATTTGAACCTTTACAGGCTAACACGGCGCAGGAACCGTTCACTCACTATTTAGATAACTTCTCGAACATCGTTTTGGTCTCTTCTTCTGTTAGCGGCCTCATATTTACTACTATAAATCCTTAACGTTAGCAACGGATAAACGTGTCTCCTGTGAGAAAAAAACGTGGGTTAACGCGGAAGCAGTAATGCTTTAAAACGGAAGTTGTGTGACGTAACAATGATCACAGTTCCTGGTTTTTTGCCTCCTTTACCGATCAGTTTGGACGGACGTGTTTTTTTCTCCGGTAAACCGGTCGCCATCTGGTAAGTTTTCGCATACTAAATAATTACAATTCACAAAGAAATCTTGAGGAGTAGTTGGCTTTAATTGTGAAAACCAGCAATTGTTTCAGCTTTTGTTTTAATTTAATAACTGAAGTCACAGCTTCCGAAAATGGGCTGCGTTAGCTCCGACAGCTAGCTGTCAGTGGAAAAAAACACAGACCCGCGGCTATCATCGAGCCCGTGAACGTTAGCTGGAAAGCTAGCTGTATTAGCATGTGGTAGAGCTAACACTCCGATTTACTAAAGCAGTTCAGTTCTAATCAACGCCGACGCCCCGGCACAGCAGCAGTACATGTGTTGAACTGCACCCAGCTGCGAGCTGTGTTCAGACTGGTCATGTAAAGCGTCTTTGCCGCAGCGGGGCGAAGTTACATAACGCTCATTTGTTTGTAAATACCGATTAAGTTCCAGTAATCCAAGATCACCGGCAGAGTTGGTAATCCTTAAAGGATGTCAGATGTGGTTAAAATCATCATTAAACACGTCTGCGCTCATTTTACGACTCTTGATAATTGACTCTTGATGATTCAGTTGCACTGAGTGTCAGCGGTGCATAGCGTCAGCTGCAGAGTCAGTGTTACAGACTGGGAAATACACTCCGTCAGCGAGCACTTCGCTTTTGGCAGATCATTTGATCCTCCTGTCACCTCTTGTTTGACAGCCAGAAGGCCTTCTACTGTGTCTTTCTGAGGCATCGACCAAAAAAAAAAAACGATTGACATTTCGAAATATGTGGTAACACTGTTTGATTATATCACCCTGTTTTGTGTGTGTGGGGTGTTTTTTTTTTTTTTTTTTTTTTTTTTTTTTTTTTTTTTTTTTTTTTTTTTTTTTTTTTTTTTTTTTTTTGTTTTTTGTTTTTGTTTTTGTTTTTTTTTTGTTTTTTAATCGTTTTGTTCTACTTGTTTACTCGTTTCAGTGTAAAATTTCATTGTTTATAATGTTTTTATGTTTGGTATTAATTATTTTGAGTATTAGTTTAGTCTTTTGTGGCTGATATTTGGACAGGAGTTGCAATACAAACACAACACTCTGTAAAGGGAGTTGGCTCACATTGAGAGAGTCATCCAAAACACAAAGCCTCCCCACCCTAGTTGTGTTGACACACTTGACTAAATTTGACAAAGACTGATGATGATTTTAAGATTATTTTATGTAATTTAAACTTAAATATGCACCCAATTTTAATTAACTATAATAGCTTTGTTGATCATATGTTTAACTGCATTTTCTTTGATCCTTGTAAACAAATTAGTAGATTAGTGATAATCCCACAAGTTGTGGTTTTGGTTTTTTTTGGGGGTTTCTTTCCCCAACATTTATCCCTTTTAACTACATTTTTTTTCCTAAGATATTTGTCAGTATAGCAACATTTACCATACTGATATCTTAAAATAAAAATTGTCATCCAACACCAAATTGATGGCCACAGTGTGCTTCCAAAATCAAATTTCTTTCCTTCATTATAGAATTAAGTATATTTTGAACAAGTACAGTACAGTGAAGACAGTTTTATTTTTTATTTATTTTCCCAAATGGTGCTCCACATTTTCTGTGCTGCTGCCCTATTAGTGAAATAAGCCTCTAGACGATTTCAAGTCCACAGAGATGTTAATTAAAATGGAAAGCTTATCAAGGTGTCGGAGCTAATAACAGCTTTCTGAAAACTGAAACACTGGCTGTTCGTTTAACCTCACAGCCCAAGGTTGGATTCAGGTAGTAAGTTATTTACCACCGAAGATTAACCACAAAAGGGAAAGTAACAGTGATCCCCTGGACAGCTTGTTGAAATAGAGGCCACACTCTGGCCCCATTTCTTTTTCTTAAGAATTGTTACAAGAGAAGTTAAATTTGAATATGGTGAACTTTCTGTTTTTAACCTTCTGACGTAAATGTTTCACCATGCCTCATATGTAGTATGTGTCTGACAGTAGTTTAAACGTATGATTAAAAATAACCATAGATTACCTCATCAGACGCGAGATGGTATCATACAAAAAGTGGCAAGCTTCCAAGAAAGGAATTTTTAAATATTGTTTTCAATCAAAAGTTGCTTCCTGTAAAAGTAAGTCCAGGGAACTATTAGCTATGGGGAACATGAGCAGCCGAAAGCTGCTGATACACATCAAAATATATCAGCAATTGATTGAAATGTGTTTTTTATTTTCTTTTGTTAACGTGTCAGCAGGTGTGTGGTGCTCTGAAGTGGGACAAGACTTTTCGTGCCAACGGTTTACCCCCAAGAAGCCACTGGCCTGTGTCTGTCATCAGTTTCCGGCGTGTGTTTGTGGTTCTGGTAACACGGAACAGGAAGACGGGCGTAGAGACGTCTGAGCAGAGAGAGGAAACTGCTGCGGCTTCTTCGTTGGCCTCAGAATGACTGAGTTCTGGGTTTGTTTCAGTTGCTGCATTGCAGAGCAGCCACAGCCTGTGAGTATGAAATTTGCAAGAAGAACTGATTTATTTAATTTAAGCTGCCTTGTTTTTAAAAGTTTTTAATTTGAATATAGATTAACAAAGTAGCATTCATCCAGTTAAACACATCCTGGCAAAAAACACTTTAAATATATTTGCTAAAGGTTATCTGTTGGCAGACAGTCTGGTTATAATAGGGAACTGTTTGATGTCACAATAATAACCCCTGTCCTGCCGCAGCAAGTCTAAGTTGTTGAGTCCTTTGGAATGATCGTGAGTAATGTATCGATTACTCATCATATGAGGTTTACTGCTCAACTAATTCAGAGTTAATGACAAAAACATGCAGACCTTTGTACATTTCCTGTTTTGTATTAAACTCCCCAAGTAATTGTTCTCATGGAAGGCTTTCAAATTTAAATTAACTTCTGAGTTTAGAAAACAAAAACTTCAATCAGAAGTTTCTTGTAGCTGCTCATAAGACGGGCACAGTGATTGGGAGGGAATTTGGATCATTCCTCACTGAAAAACTATTTGTTGTTATATCTGGGATATCTTGACTTAACATTGAAGCTATCTAGGTCATGCCACAGTACCTAAATTGGTTTTAGACCCAGACTACAAAACCTAGTTTTCTTCATTTAAAAAAGCAAACCAAGAAAAACCCTTCTTGTTTATTTACTTGTGTGCTGTCACATGATCTGCCATGACTTTTTGGTCAAGGACTGCTGCCCAGATATCGTTCTGTAATGCGGTTATGAATTTATTGCTGCTTTTGTGAATGTGAGGTGTCGCGGACCTGAGCTATAAAAGCAGTTTAAGATAAGCGGGATTTATAGCCTCGCAAATGTGTCCGTCTGCATACAGTTTTCAGTCAGAGAGGGGAGACGGGTTTTCACCCACGCGAGAAACACTGCCGTGCAGTCCTCCAAGATCCTGACTGCGTCTCACTGGAATCGGATGACGTATGCGACTGCCAAATGTTGACTGGTTGATAAGTGGGCCAGAAAAGAGCAGGGAGCAGTAGCAGAGTTCCACGGGAATAGGAGATCCTGTTAAAAACTTCAAAGATCAAAAAATAATGTATGAAAAGCACAGACAGTGACTGCAGTGACAGTTTTCATTGTTTTTAATATTCGGTTTCACTTCAGCTTTTGTGTGTTATAACTTCGTTCTTCTTCGTGTTTGGCTCATAGACCAAAAACAACATGAGCCACAGTTGTCCACAGACTGTTTGTAGCACAGACAGTCAGGCCCTGGAGCGGAGTGGACAGCTAACACGCTCACTCTGCTCCACCATAAATCCCACTGTACTTTCTGCACCATGTTTTTATGGATGGTGTTTTGTGTCGGCTTGCCAGTACTCTTTTGTTTCCCTCTAAACATAGCACTCCACATTTTGGCAGGTTTGTTTTCTTTTCTGTTTGCCCACATTTGTCTTATTTGCCCACAGAATAGTTTGAGAATCTTTACAGTGAGGCATTCACATAGGTTTAGTTTTTCCAGCCTGAGTGTGATTAATCAGTGTCCATCATAGAAATTCTAAACTTTTCCCTGTTGTAGGTTTAGTAACCCTGGATTGACAAAACAGATTCAGTAAAACTTCATCACTTTGGTAGTGAACTATCTGTTAACAGATAAGATAACACAAATGATTCGTTTTTACCTTTGTCTCAGTGCAGATCCACTATACTTCAAACAAAGATTTAAAAAGTAAACTGATAAGTGTTTAGTTTCTGATTCACACATGCTCTTCTCAGTTCCCAGTGATAGTAATATTTGCTTTATTGTGTGTAGTATGGTAAGTCTACTTGTGATATTAATATTTAAATTTAGATTTTTGCTACTTTTCAGAAACGGCGGCGAAGGATCGATCGCTCCATGATTGGGGAGCCGACAAACTTTGTTCATACCACACATGTAGGCTCAGGGGACATGGGCCTGGGTTTGGCATCAGTAAGTTTTGGTTTTTTTGTTTGTTTTCACGGAATTTTCAAACATGTGTTTTCAGCCAGCTAACATTTATATATTTCTATAGGTCGACCTAGTTCAGGCCCAGATGAAATCTAAAGGAGGATACGCGCACACAAGTTCTGAAGGTTCGCAGTTGTAACGAGGTGAGAGATGTCCTGATATCCCTTAGTGAAACTGACATTAACCACAGATTTTTCACTACCCCAAAGCCACACAAGCACAGTTTCATCTTGTTTTCATGCAGCCAGAGCCGACTTATAAAAGGTCAAGTTTGTTTTTGAGTGAATTTTCGTTTGGTTTTTTGTTTTTTTTGTTTTTTCCCTTCCCTAGCAAAAGCAGTATTTGTCTTGTTCCTCTGTCTTCCAGTTCTTTTAAATAATAGATTAGAAATATCAATATCATATAGATGTGTGAAATTCTAGACTTGGGGCTCTAGCCATAAGTCAGTGATAGTGTCAAAGTTCTCGTGACTGTTTTCATCTTGTAAACCTCAAAAGTTTGCTCCACCCATGCACTGTCAAAAACAAGTGATGGCAAATCAAGCCTGCACACAACAGCAGGCTTGCCTTATGTGGCTTTGAGAGGAAATGGGAGAAATGCAATGAAGCACATATTTACACTGTACTGTGCATGGTATTGTTTTGCTGATTACCTCTCAAACTGTCTTTGTGAGCGTGACTCAGCTGTCAGAGTAATGACAGTGTAATCGTGCCAAAGTCAATTAAAATAAATAAATAAATAAAATCTTTATTATATAAAAATGACATACTTTTATTTTTCTCTTGACTTTACTGAATTATACTTTTTTTTTTTTTTTTTTTTTTTTTTTTTTTTTTAAAATTGTTCTAATTTAGGAAAAATTATAGCTCTCTACTGTCCTAAGACATTAAGAAAGCTACATCTGCAGGGTTGCTTTTTTGGGTTTTGTTTTTTAAGGGGGGGGGGGGGTGTAACACTCCCACACAGTGTTGCCATAGGTGCTAAGACAGATCGAACCCAAAGATATCAAATACTTTCTGGGAAAAACACGGATGACTGTAAATTTGACCAAACCAACTAAGATTTTAAAATTGGGACTGACAAATGCACACAGACACAAAAGTACACCTCCAATCAGAAGCAACTCGAATCCTAACCTTTGTTCCACCTTTTCCTCCAACAGCTCTTCAGTCTTGTGGAAACTACTGTTGTTCATATAAGGAAGAATTTTGAAAAAGCAGTTCTGTCCATAAAGGACACAGGACCAAAAGATGAAACTACTGCTTTACCTTGATGTTGTATATATTTTTATTTTTCCATTCCCTTTTTTGTTTTGTTTTGTTTTTAATGAAAGCACTGCTATCCATTTGCTGCCATACTGTTGCACTGTAAAGAGAAACTGTTTAAGAGTAGGGAAGAGGGTTTAGAAAGTTCATAATCTCAGACAGACGTATGCTTGTGTGTATGCATGAGGAAAATTTACTTCAAAGATTCTTGCTGTTGAAGCCAATTTGGATACCTGTATTTATTATCTTGATTTGACAACGGACCTCATGGTGGCTGGGCCACGCTGGAAAATTGGAACATTGAGTTTCCTTCTTTATCCTCAGAGGTTTATCAAAGGACAGGTAGCAAGGCAAAAAAAAAAGCAACACGTTCATAGTTTTATTCTGAGAAATACTCATTATACTGAGTTGCTTTCAGGGTTGAAGATTGCTGTTTTTGTAATAAACTTGAAATGAGTAGAGTACACTGGACCATACATTGTACACTCACACTTGCTTAGGAGTTCATCATTGATTTCAACTGTTTTTTGTTTGTTTGTTTATACTCATTTAGATTGAACCATATAGGATTTTAATAAACTATTAACTTCCTAATCTGCCTTGCTGAAGTCATGTTATTTGTTTTGCTAGTGCGATTTGTAAGCTTAAAGCTTAAGTAGGCACAAATCTGGAAAAGGCAATGTTTTAAATGATCACCTTTCTCCCCTTTGCTCTTTGCTGTTTTGTCAATAACCTCTTTATGCTAGATTCTTGAACAAATAGGCTTGACCAAAGGTTGCCACGTGACTGCTTCTTATGTAGCTTCACTTAACGATACCTTTGCTTGTTGGTGGCTTTTTCTGTCATCAATCCACCATCTGAAGGCACATTTGTAGGTCAGCCAATTGAGAAGACTTGATTGTCTGTCACAGTGGGCAAAATTTTTCGATTGATAGAAGAGCTTAGAGGCGGTGCAGAAGGCTAGTTTCTTGCAGAGCACATTAAAGTACAATATGCTGAATTGTTACTGTGGAGCCTTTGCCTACGTATGCCAAAAATGGTGTCTCCCCCAGCTTTAATGCTTTGTTTGAGCTTTTATTTATTTTTGCAATTTCATGTTTTTAAATGCTATGTGGTTTGTTTTGGTTTTTTTTGTTCATTTGCTTTTTTTTTGTTTTTTGTTTTTTTTTTGTTTTTCTTTCCAAGGTTTGTGTACCAACAGTAGACTTTAGACCTTAACTTGGAAGTAATCAGAATGTCGCAAACACTGCAGCAAAAGTGGGTTTTGTTACAGTCGGCAGTACTCTCATATCTAGTTCACCTACCTATCATCGTGGGGGGGGTGTTTGTTTTTGTTTTTTAAGATGAAGAGAATTAATTTTGCCACAGATGATGCTGTCCTTTTTCTTAAACTAACCTGCCATGACTGTTACAGCTGATAAATGCAGCTTAAGGACTTCCAGCCACATGTGACCCACCTTTGTCGCAGTGTTTGAGCTTATGTTGCTTCTGTTTTGAATTATTGCTACATATAACCTTATTTTGTTTAAATAAAAAAAAAATAATAATAATAATTTTTACTAAAAGTATTAACACACCACCTGACAGTCTTGGACATTACTTTATTCACAGTTTGCCAGTGTTTTTAACCTTCAAGCACATAATTTTCCTATTTGGGGAGAAATAAATTAAAAACAGATCTTATTGCCTGGTTATTCTAGTTGTCAGTCATGTCAGTGATCAGACTAGAATGTCTTTTTGATTTTGTTTTTTCCCTTGGAATTGTTGTGTTGTCCAAATTTCTGAATTAGGGTCCATCTTAAGAAAAAAAATCTAAGCAGAAAGATCAAAAGTGCTGAGCAAACCAGCAGGCCTGGACCTAATAAATGTCATTGTTTGTCCTCTTTGTACATCATATTGATTGACTATTTCAGCGACAAAATGTGTTGAATGTATTAAGTCGAGCATGTAGATTGGTGTTAAATGAGTGCTATTGTCAAAATTTCTATGGTACAAAGAAAACGTCTCATTTGATGTTGGTACTTCAAATCGTAGAATACATTTAATTGATGTTGTCAAATTTCTTATATCAGCCTTAAGACTTCTTGCAAGTACTTTGCCCATAACCCTGGACAGATTTAAGATTCATCAGGTTGAAACATTGTAACAAACATCTGTGTTTCTGTAGTTATTCCTATGTGCAGATGGATCCACATACATGTACACGTTTTTGTTTTGTTTGTTTGTTTTCCAGCTCTGGGATAAATGCTGTAGAATGTGCAGTCATACTTGGATTGCAGTACATTATGTGACCAGCAGGCTGTGCCAGTGGACTGTTTGAATGTGACTTAACAGTTTTGTGTTTGGATTCCTGTCACAGGGCTTATTTTATGATGACACTGTTATTACATGATGTATAAAAGTGATGGCTCCACGCTTTCTCAGATTCATATATTTCTGTATAATATTACAGGAAAGGTGTAGTTGGCAAAATCCCCCACCCCGCCCACCCTCAGAATCTGCCTAATGTGTAGTTCTCACTTTAAAGGGAAAATCATCTTTCCTTTATTGCATTTTCAGAATAAGCCAATAAATGTTATATGTTGATGTTTCACCAAATGTGTATTCCATCTTTTCATTTTTAAGAGGAAAGCAGTGAAAGCATCAGTGTAACAAAGACGATACATTTTTAAACACAGTGGAAATGGCGTGGAAACGTAAAACGCAAAGGCCACGAAATGGTCCCAGGTTCGACCAGGGGTTAATACAATACAAAATTTTACTGTAAAATTCTACTAGATTTATATAAAGTAAGAGTGCTCACCCCAGAATGAAATACTGCCCGTGGAGCATACTTGGATATACTTTTAGATTGTTAATACATTTGAGTGTTGAATGCTGCAAAGAGGAACCTTATTAACAAAAGTTGGGCAATTAGTGGCTGACGTTCCCCGATGCTTGCATGACACATGATACTGCTACATGGCAACTAATTTTGAGCACTCAAAGTCTCATTCACACAATTACGCACACATTCATGTAGCACTTTTATCTATTTCTTATCGCTTTGTTTAACATTGACAGGCAGACTTGCACTGTGATGAATACATCAAGGGCATCTCAGGGTTCAATATGTTGCCCAAAGATATTTCACCGTTTAGACAAAATGAGCCAGAGATTGCTCTATTAAATGTTCTAACTGTTAAACTACCCAATTTTTAAAATATTTATACATAAATATTGAAAACAATTATCAACTTTTATATGTGATGCAGTGGTTAGCACTCATACCTCACAGCTAAAGATTCTCAGTCTAAACCTGCTGGCTGGCTGAGGCCTGCCTGTAGGGACTTTGCATGTTCTCTCTCCACCTGCATGCACCTTACACCAGCAGTCCCAAGGCATTCTTGTTGGGTTAAATGGTAATTGGTTAATTGAATGTGAGAGGTGATGATTCTGTCTCCATGTGTAATCTGTCCAAAGTGTATGACACATTTGGTCCCACGATAACTAGGATAGACTCCATCCCTCTGTGATTCTGAACTGGAAAAAGGGAATTGACAAGATGAGAAATAAGCACATGAGAGGGAGACCTTGGTTTGGAGCTAAAGTTAGAAAGTCAAGGTTTATATTAGATACAACAGGCAAAGGATCTAACAAGTATGTACAAAAAAGAATCAAAGAGAAGATCCAGAGAAACAGCACAGGTCGACATGCAGAGGTTTGATGTGGCAGAAGAGGATGTAAGGGATAGACTGTGAAGAAGGTAGATGATCTACTGTGGCAACCCATAAATAACTATACAATGTCTCTAATAGTAATCCTTGATAGCAGATTCACTTTATCAACATCTGGTATTTTTATTGCACTCTTGTGAAGTGTTATTTGCACTCTGCTTGTTCTGCTGTGATAGACCCGAATGTCTTCTGTTAAAAAGACGTGTAAATTAAAAACACTAATGTATTTGTTAAAGCATATGTTTGAAGTTTTTTGGTTTTAGCCAGTTATAGCAGTTAGATAACTCTGTTTTCAGAAATTTTAGTTTTTATGTTGAATTAATGCACAGTAGCTCCCGTTTTCTTACAAATGGCACATTGGCTTAGTAATTCCAACATGTAAAGCTGTGTTCAAGATTAAAGATTTAAAGCCTTAATCAAGATTTAAAGCTACAACTTTAAAAGCTGTGCTCAAGATTACAACTTCGAGATTCAAGCTGTATTCATTGGTTACATGGTTTCATATCTCCTAACACAACAAGGAATGAGGTGAAGCAGATGTTTAAAAAAAATAGAAATGTAACATCTGCTCCTTGTTATTCATCACAGGATTGGGTTTTGGATGCTTGTCAATCACAATGAGTTATCATACTCCTCACATATTTCAGGATGTAAACAATGTGCAATAAATGTGGGGGGGAAAAAACTAAATCAAAAAGTAGAAACTTGGCAGCTTTTTAATCACACACTAAAATTCAGTATTTTTTGCATTCATTTTTATATACACACAGGATGTCAAGAATCCTGACAAGTTCATGCCCTTGTGTAATTTGTGTATTTTGTAAAAGCAGGTTTATTTATATATATAATGTAATATATAAACAAATAATATACACAAAAAACAACATGGGTATTATTCACTAAAACACACAAAACACACTGAACAATCTATAGCCTTAAAAAAGATACAAAAAACAAACAAACTTGTATTTCATGTTGGAAAGTTTTTTTCAAAAGGTAGTAAAATTAATTTACAAATGTAGAAGTCGCACACATATTACAAATGGACAAGGATATAGGATACACCGTATTGTAGATTGGGTCAGCTTTCTGTGAATGCAGGTAAAGTGAGATTTGAACTCCACTCACAAACACAAACCTACAAATTGTTATTCTTTGTTCTTTGTTTATTCTTTGTTCTTCATTTACTGGCTAAACATCCAGTCAAGCTCACTGAAACGGGCGAACAGAAACTGATCCTGCACTGCGATGAAATGAGATCTGCGAGCTTGGGGTCATTTCTGTGAGTGTTAGGCACTAAATCTAAACATAAGTAATGTTGACAGAGGTAAAGCTTGGCTTGGAACTGGATCTTCATCCCAGCATGCTCAGCAGAGAGGATGACAGAGCAATGTTCCCTGCCCTCTCGCATTTCTCCTATTTCCTGCAATTAGCTTATCAGAAAAACAATAAGAGGGAAACGGATGAAGGTTAGCAAGAAAGCTTAAAAGAAAAAACACACAAAGTAAACACAAAGAGAAGGTAGATGGAGTTCTTGGGTGCACAGCTATGGCATCAGTGGTTGCTGATGTGTGGACCAGTCGGAAAGTTCCTTGATGTAGTTTGGACCAAATAGATCACTGCAGTTCTCTGTGTGCAGAGGATATGAGTTATCATCTCCAGGACCTGAGAAGCATAAAATAGCACATAAACACACAGTCATGGCAACAATCATGGCTGTTATCACACCTTTAATGCATTTAATTTTATCCCACTTTACAGATTGTTGCATGTACACATAATATATTGAATTTGATCTGTCAGGCTTAACGTTCATCTACCTAATAGAGCTGTGTTTGTTTGTTATTCTCATAGTCTTTCCCTCAGTGTTACTCACCCCAAAATCCATATTTATACAAAAATATATAGTACAACACACTTCCTGTTCATGTTTACATTTACTCTGTCCGAGTAAAATTAAAACATTTCAGGATGTAATTTAATTTAATCATTAGTTATTATCAATCTCTGACTCTCTTCTACAGTGCATTTCTCTGTCTTCTCTGTATTATTCTAGGGGGTTTACCTTACAATACAAAGCGCTTTAACTGTTGCTGTGATTTGGCGCTATATGAATAAAACTGAATATAATTGGAAATGTTTACATTAAATCCACATACAGTAAAATGCTGTACTGCAGTTTAGTACCGTGAAGTAGAAGGGTTATGTTTTTTCATATTTAAGATTTCATTTAACTATTGACTAATAATACTTTGCAGAAATAAAATAAGCGTCATACAGTGCCAGTGGTTCCAGAGATTGTGTGTTCTCCATCCTCTCTGCTCCCCGGTCTGGTTCCAGAGCTCAGTGTTGTTTAAGTGATCCATCAGCTGCAGGAAACAAAACACTGAAAGTTAGTCAAACAGATATACAGAGCAGCACATACAGAATCAAAACTGCAGCAAAAAGAAATTCCCAGGAAACTGATCTTGGTTAAGTCAAATATGATGTAGTTCAATTACATAGCAATTATTTTTCGTTTCCTGAGGAAAAACCGCATGTTTTTGCAAGAATACCAAGACTGTTGGTTTGCATTTGATTAGTTAGCATATTTAAGATATAGTACCTTAAAGACGGCCTCACTCTGTTCCTGGTCCACTGGTTTGGCGTCCCACATCCCTGCATACCAACAAGAACCATCATCAATCTTTTCAAAGTGTCGCTTACATCCAAAACACCAACAGAGCACTTTAAAGACAAAGCATCTCACCCTGTCTTTGAATGCTGGTAAATGTGTTCTCTGCAACAGCTTCCACCTTCTGTGGTATGTCTGTAATGGGCCTTGTTGTTGTGGGTTGCCAAATCTGTGTGTTGTGCATGTCATTAGATGTGCATTCACTTAAACTGGTCTGTCTTTCTCTGGATCGGTCGAATAACCGCAGCCCTGAGAGGAGAGAGAGAGTAGGACTGAAACATGAGGCCAGTGTTTGCAGGTAAAGTTGGGAAATACACTTTAAGTCTATCTTACCTCTTCTGCGTTTCTGTGTTTGTGAGCTGGGCAGCATCCTGTAGACTCTGTAGGCATTACTGCCTCTCTTTTTGCTGTGCTCTCGCAGCTCACAGATGTCAGGCAGAGAATTCAAGGCACAGCGGAAATTTGCTTTCCATGTCTTTGGATCTGGCTTATCTTTGCCTGGATGGTACCGTCCTAAAGAAGCATATACAGAAAGGTTAATGATAAAGTCAGAAAAAGACTGTGGTCAGGTGTGTGTAGCTAGGGAAGTCTGCGGTGTGTATAGTTTTAAATACAGACTTTATTTAAAAGCTGCACACAGCAAAAGCACGTCTTCTAAACCTGCAATATTTCTAATGGCCAACAGGGGGCAACTCATCCGGTTGCAAGTAGCCAAATCGAAAAGAAGTCAATGAGAAACTGATCCTACTCATTTCACAAGTGACTTCAGTAAACATCCTCCTTACTAGGCTATGGATGGCCTCAGTTATAAGTGTCACAGCTTCTTTGTTACAGCATAATATTTGTTTTAAAAATCATGGTCCCAGTTAGAGTGACAACAAAACAGAATACGCTTTAGGGCACACCTTCCTTGTGATTTACTAGAGATAATCATACTCATGGGTGTGCGTAATTATAGAGGCTGAAAAATAGTCCAGAAAACAATGGAAGGCAGCTACAGCCAAACTCTTTATACTGTTAAATAGAGTTAAAGGTGTGGCTGCACCTATTAACATACTTAACAGTAATATCACAATTTGGAATGTGTGAAGTCCTTAAAATATAGTCAGATGTGTCTTATAATTAAGGAAACTCAATTTATTAAATTTTGTAAATCAACAGGAAGTACAAGGAAAATGAACTACAAGTCTGATACAGAAATTGTAGTACATGTAGCAGTTTCTTGGTTTCTGATTGAAGACAAAAGAACATGGAAATAACACACTGACTGCAATAAAGAAAAAAAATGCTACCAATTTTGTATAAAACAGTGGATGTAAACTATAAGGCCCTGCAATAACCGATATAGGCAATTGCTCCATTATGCTCAAACATTTTTTTTATTGTGTGGAACTGTGGGGATCAACCTTTAAATGTACCTTTAGATACTAATTATTAACAAGCCAAGTTACTGTGGTCCCACCAATCCACTGTTTCTAAAATCTCACAGCATGGGCTTTCACGATTTGGTTCTTTAAAAAGTTGCGCAAAATCAAAGTCCATCTCAGACTGTGTACAATTATTTTTTAGTCTAAGATTTGAGAGGTATTTATATTTTCACTGTACAAAAAGCTAGAAATAAGAACAATTAAATTTATCTTGTTGGGGTAAAAATGTGAACTAATCCTGCAATTAATTTTTGGGTTTCAAAAGAATGATTTACGAAGATATTTTTTAGTGTTATGAGTGAATTATTTTGTATTTGTTGTTTTCTTTTCCTTTTCTAGGGTAGGTTAGCTATAGTGAAACAAATGTAAGCCAGGCATATATAAGCATTGCTTCTGCCTGAACCTGTTCAGTCACTTGTCAGTACATAGATAGACTTTATGTGTACTGTAACAATCTCTATTTATGTGATTGCTGAATAAAGTACGTTTTGTATAGTAAAAATGGGGAAGAAAAACACAGCTGTGGCCAGAAAAACAAAGTTTTTAAAGGGAAATTCTGATGTAGTTTGACCAGTGTACCTATGTCACTATGCCCTTTTTGGTTTCCTCTCATTAAAGTGAATAAAGGGAACAAGAAGTAATACAAAGCACATATCAACGTAAGCACTGCAAAATTCCTGAAGCCTTAAACTAGTACCAAGGAAAGGACCACACGGTAATCTTCAGAGACTAGTTAGTGGTTGACTGATTAGTTTGAAAATCACAGCCTTTGGTTTCAACTCTTTGTAATGACACTAGCCCAACTGTCAATAAAAACAACAAGTAATCAAATCAGAACCAGTGTATGCATAATGTTTGACTTGTTCCCTAGTTCCGCTTTGCCAAATTGTGTTATTACACACATTTAACACATGTTTGTACCACAATATGCCACTAAGGGTGTAAGTCCACTGTTTGGATTGGAATTTCAATGTATTTTTTTTAAGATTACATTTTAATTATATTTACCTACAAATACTTAAAGATAGTCATAGAAAAAGAAGATTTTTACATCCTTATTTTTGCTACATCTTTATTTAATATTCATTGTGTTGATGTGCATGGATGGTCTGTTTTTCAAATGCTTCTTTATTTTACCAATAGAAATGCGAAAAGGACTGTTATCCCTTACAAGCATTTAAATCTCCTTTTTTGTAAAATAGCTTTAAGTTAGGCAAGATAGGCAAGACACTCCCAAAAAGTGTAAGATGGGGGGAAATACATTTTTTCCTCTCTAAATCATTAACAAGTTACAAAATAATTGAGATACTTATGCAGTACTTAAATGTACTCACAGTAAAATTGTTTCTTTGTTTGTAAAACCTTGATCTGTTACCTCTTTATTCTAGTGTACCCATGTTTAAGCATTCAAAATTCCATTTAATTACAAAAGAACTAAACCCTTAATTGCGGGCACCATTAATGAAGTGTTACCAAGATTCTCCATCACCTGGTGCCAGACCAGGCTTAATGGTGAATCGTTAACATCATTCATCATTAACCCTGCTGTCAGGTGACTTCATCCAGTCTATGGTCGCCTTTCTCAAATTTAGCACAACAGTTTAACTTGGCTCTCAGCCAGCCTTCTGAAAAGAACTGTTAAAGTAATAAAATCACCGGAGCTTTAAGATCCACTATGGATCACTTACAGCAGACAAGGGCTAACAGGAATTAAAGGGGCACAGGCAGCGGCCACTGAAACCTCCCATTCATCAAGGTTTCCACAAGTCATGTCAAAGACCTTTTTTTATTTAAGACATTAACTCCATGTAGCTTTTTATGGTTTGTGTTCAAATCAATTTAGTATTTATTTCACACCGTGTTTTTACACAGACAGTTCATGAATATGTTTTGTCTCTTTTTTAGAGCTTGTTTTTTTTAAGCCTTAATGTTGTACTTTGACAGCAATTCGATCGCTTTGAGCATTCACAGCAAGTGAACTGGAGCTTTCCCATGATGCAGATGCAGTCATAAATCGCAACTTTCCCAAGACGGAAACATGTTTAACACATGCGCACATGCACTTATGTTTCTCTGTGCATTGACCAAAACAATAATGTGGGGATAGAAGACTATGAAAAATATATGTTTTATATTCTGTGAATTGTGAAAACTGTGTGATCCACTAAAAGGAGTGAGGAAAATTACTCAGTGTTATGTATTAAATTACTAGAAGAAGGTTATCAGACTACTCATGAGAAGATATCAGTTAAATGATCTGGGAAGATAACATGTATTAGAATGCTTCAGTTTGGAACTGGAGAGCGTCAGAAGGGACTTACATGAACTGAACTGACATCCCTAACGCCATTGCAACAGCTTGTAGTGCCAACTATTTACCCTTAAAGAGACCATGTCTATGTTTGATTGGATAAGGCTTGTTTTATTTGAAGTTGCCGTCAAGCTCTCATTACTTAGCTGGAAAGTAAACAGGAATGTGGTAGATCTAGAAAGACTGAGCAACACAACCGTGGAGCTCTTCACTGGAAACACTTCTAGAACAGAAGAAACCGGTCTATAGGCAAATCTCATCAGGGTCGTTAAAACAATGATTGCAATGCAATTTAAGTAGCATTTAGAAACTTTGTATCTGTTCTCTAAAGTATGTAACCCTAAAAAAATACATTCCGTGTTGAACATTCCCATGACTTTGTTGTTTTTGTTTTTGCGAATAAAGTAATTATCCTGATCTTTTTGTTAGATGTATATTTTTAGGTGAGCATATCAGCTCCCTAACAGATCCCTGATCAGACTTGTAATAATTTTTATTACTATTTACTGTAAAAACAAATAGATATCTTTATAGTTCAACGCTAATATCAATAAAGCGCTGAGATTCTGGCCCAGGGATTGATTTTGGTAGTTATTTGTGGGATGTTCCTGTGGTTTCTGTTTGTAGTTCTTGTTGCTCTGTATTGAAACACGAGGGTGCAGTGAAAAAAATGTAGCATAAGAACTTTGTTCTGATCAGTAAGAGCGATCAGTACAACAGATGGATAATAAAACAGTCTGAATTGAGCCGAGAAACAATCAGATGAAACAAATCACATAGTGTCAGTGTTTTGCTCTTACCTGTATGCATGGCCCAGCTCCGGAAAAGGGTAGCATCTCTCTCAATACTCCAACCATGGCGAGCGGCATGTTTCCATGGGATCTGGAAGATTCGTGCTGACTGTTGAATGAAAAAGAAAACAAACTGTGATTAGTTGTATTATTCCCAGGATTATATAAGAATAAATGCCTTATTATGTTTACCTACTGTGATTTTAACTATAGGAAACTTTCCGAACCCCAGTTGTATTTGTATATGTGTGTAGGTGTATCTAGATATGGTGGTAAGAAGAAGGTGATCTACCTGGTCCAGCCAGCTGACTCCTGGATACCTCCCAGACTGAATCTGTTCCTCCAGCCACGGCCTCAGCCTGAGCCGGCCTTGTTGTTGCATGCTCCAGTCTGTGCTTCAGGTGAGTGGAAAAGGTGGTCAGTACAAAAGCAGGAGTTTCAGCAATAACAGAAAATTTCTTAGGAGCTCAGATTAAATCACAGGTTATGCTGGGACACCCTTCCTACCTGGCTGGTTCTTCCAATCAGAAGACTCACAGTTAACACGATCCTGCTCCTCCTCCAATAGTCTACCACACAGGCTCTTCCTGTTACAGAAAATATTGTATACTGCATGTTATTTGCTTCGAGTGGAGTTGAATTGGAATAGTGCGGTTATAGGTGGGAGGAGAGTTGTAAAGCTGCTTGTACGGGTTTTTTAATCCTTTTCCAATAGTTGAATATAGACAGAAATGCTGGTTTATTAACCAGTTGTTTACAGTTAATTTAAAATAACTTGTATAAACATGGGGGAAAAGGTAAATATATATTATGTTTGCATGATATGTGAATTTTTGTATATGTCAGCTGCTGCAGAAAGTCAGTGTCAGTATATTTTTTATTTTGGCTTTATTAAGTCACAGCACAGTTACTAGATAGCATCTATTCATGTTAAGACCACAAGGTGGAAGCACAAGCAATGGTGTAGTAATGGTGACGTTCCCTTACATGTTGCAACAGGGCCTCGACTTTTTAGTGTACATGTTCAGTACAGTTCAGTTAAGCATGAACATTTCTTTTAAACCTATGCGCCCACCACTAATACTGAGCACAGCCACACACATATACATACACACAGAAGCAACAGGATACAGAACACACATATATGCACTATGTAGTATAGAATATAGTGACTTTCACTCACCATAAATGCTTGATGTCTTTATTTTAAGTAGCACATAAACACTAGTTTACATTAGTCCACTGTCATGTTTAAGTACACATATTTACTACATGGGGATCCAAAAAGCAAATAACATGTATCCTACTTAAGGTATATACTTTTGAATTGTATTTTGCATTATGGTCAATTCAATTATGTATAAGATATAATCTCAAAAATGCATTACCAAATTTCATTGGTGTACCAAAGCACACAGCGGACAAAGCTTGTTGTGGATCATTCAAACCTGTTTGTCTCGTTGAAGGAAACACAACTCAGAAGTATTCACATTTATTTGAACTTTTTTATACAACAGAAAATTATTAAGATTCACATCACCCAAATACAGAATAAAGTTGTTTCTTTCAGTTGCATATATTAAAAAGTAACTATGTTTTTATTTTGACAACTACAACATGCTGAAGGCGATGACGTGTGCTTCTGTGGAAACAGATCAACAGTTCCAAAGAAGAGCAATGAGGAAGTAATTTCATAACTCTGAACAGCAGCCCTGAAGGGCAGATAAGTGTTGCGGCTTGTTTTAGTCAGAGAGTGCAGCCATTTCCAATGTAATTCCTACTTAAAAGGTTTAGACTTAATGGGCAAATTGTCTCTCTTTTCTATTCTTTTTAAACTGAGATTTAAATGAAAACTCTAAAATGGCTCAAGGGGATTACCGAGTTGACATTTTAGACAGATTTGATACAGCTTAGTTATCTCAGCCTTTATGCATTTAAGGAATCTGTCTTCAAAAAGAAATGCAGAATGACATTTAAAAACAAACGGCAACACAAACCAAACTGAACAAAAAGAAGAAAGAAAATTCACTTTGTTCAATATCAGATGTGGAATGTAGATAAATGATGTGATAGGAGCTGTTTAGCCTATTCCTTTGTAGAAAACAAATACTGAAAATATTAAGGCTACAGGCGCATACTGGTTGATATCTGATATCAGTCATTTTATGTGGAAGTTTCATGGACACTTCACAATTTTCAATCAAAAACTTCAGAAAGAAAGTATTTACAGTTGAAATGTTTTCAGAATGAATACCTGTGGATGCTCTATATTGAAAATGTATACATTTATATGTAAAAGCAGGACTTACAGTGTAAAGATCCCATGCAGTGCAAAAAACAGACACTAATTGGGTCTTGAGTTACAATTTTAAAACCGTTTCCAAGTTCAAGAATGAACCATAGGTCACAGTCACAGTGCTACACAGCTTGATAGCCAGCATCTGTAATTATTGGCACAGAGTGGTCAACAGACATTAAGGGGGGGAAAGGTATTTGGAGCTGCCCGCCCTGGACATTGTGGATAAAACCTGGAAAGACTTCACTTAAGATGCTTTGAGGAGTCTTTTTGAATAATTTTTCGTACTCACCATTTCCTTGCTCTAAAAGCAAAATATCAGGTTGCTTCTCCAGACTTGGAAGTGCCTGGTAGTCATCATCCATTGCAAGAAAGCTGTTTGACCCTTTAGGCACACAACCATAACAGGGATTTTCATCACAAATTGTGACCTCTTCACCTAGCTTTGGTTTACCACTCATGACCTCATCAGAGCTCTCAAACTCTGCCTCAGCTCTGGATGAAAATTCACAAGAATCAGATGCGTTAGTCCCACTAGAGACAGAGGACAAGCTGGTGTCTTCTTCATACGAAAATGTCCCAGAATCTGCTTTGTAGGATTGATATGGCATGTTTGGTTGCCTTAGAAATGAACCAGAATCTTGCTGAGCAGGAACTTGACAAGATGGTAGCAGCTGATGAGGACAAATTTCCATGTCGCTCTTACTGGGATGGTAATCGGGGAGACAAAGCATTTCAGCCTTCTCCTGTGCCTCCAAGTCGCCCGTCATGGCCTGATGTTCAGAGACGGGGATTAGGAGGGAATAGGTTTTATTTTCAAATACAGATGATCCTGAACTGGTGTCATTAGCTTGGACACTACACGGACTGTAAGGAGCTGAGCATAAATCGCTTTTTTGCATATTCATTAATTGTGTAAGGGGATTGGTGGCCACTGGTGATATAGGGCTAATATTCAGGAAAAGTTTAGAAAGCACATCATGAACAGCTTTAGTGATAGGAGGTTCTTCGTTCATAGTCTCAGGGGGTTCGGCATTCGCATAACTGAGATCGGAGGAGCCCGTGCTGATCCCACTGGTTTGCTGAAGGCTTCCACTGCTTGTGTCTGTCAGTGACATCTTCGACCTGAGTAGAGAAACAATTACTGAAACTGCCAGATAAAAATCCTCAAGAAAATATCTTGTAATGCTGATGAATAGAGCCAATACTGACCCCAGTTTACTGTCATCTGGTATAAGGGGCTCAATGCAGATAGTGGAGGTAATGGATGGCTCAGGTTTTAAGACCTAAACAAAGGGGATGAACAGTGTTAAACATGACGCAGGTCATAAATTCAAGCTCAGCTGTAATCCTGTCAGATTGTGTGAGAAGTACTATCCGATATAAGGTGCAGGGCGCCGTCAGTAAATGTTATACTCAGTGAACTAATTAAGTTGTTATTAACTTAAGTTGTTAAGTTAATACTCAATTTTGCTCTACAAAATTATATTAGGACATTATGCTGCTACTGTTCTATCAAAATTTTAAATGAATATCTTCATATGTGGCTCTTATTTTTCCTAAAAACAAATTTAAGGTAAAAAAAACAAAATCTGGTAATTCTTTGTTTTTACATTCATCGGGTCCCAATATGCCCAAATATCAAAGAAAAATTAAAAATGCATGCCGTGGAAGACTTCAGGTCTTAGGAGGTTAAGGACAGAACATAAATCCAATGAATTGCTACTAATGAAGAAGTAATGAAAAAAAATTAATAAAAATTTCCCACAATTATTACTAACAAAATACACGAGTGTAACATTTGAAGTCAGAAGCTTTTAACTAGTGTGAAATATGTCTCACCTGTTCCTTGCTTGGATAAATATTAAGAAAGCTTGGATTTGGAGGTTTGGTAACTACATCCCACCAGTTTTTTTTAAACCTAAAAGGAAACGTTAAAAAAATAAATCAACAAAAAAATTAAAAAGTTCTAGTATTTAGGAGAAATGTGCACTGGCAGAAACTGGCACAAAAAACAAACTTTTTATATGCACAACCTACTTGACATAACAGCGACACATAACAGCGCTTAAGATGACGGCAGTAATACTGAGGCAGATGATGATAACCACGGGCAGGTAGTGTGGGGAGCGAGCTGTGAAGGTAGGCGTTTGAAAAAAGTTTAATGCTTTTTCTATTTGTACAGAAAATACACAACTATGAGCAAACACTACTGTATACAGACAAAAGTATGAATCAGCTTTTGTATTTTTTGTTATTTCCAAAAGCATAAACAAAACCTTTGTGACCAACAATTCAAGCAAAAATGAAAACAGGGGAGAGGATAAACATGATAATGAAGAACAGGTTCAATTTGTATTGTGACATAAGTCAGGAAGTTTAACGCAATAACCACATTATTCAAAGTGTTTGGAGAAAGTACATATTAACACTAATGCAAATAACAAATGTGTGTGCACTCTCTGGAACGTAAATAGAAGGACATGACATCATAGTAATTCTGTTGTTTTGGAGAAAAATTCAAATGAACAAACTGAACCTTCACAGCAAAGTATGCATCGCTTTGCTTTTGAGATATTCAAGGATCTTTTATATTTGAATACAGGACATTGTAGTTCAGCTTTAATGTTACAATCTGAGGAGCTCATCTCCACTTTTCTCTGGAGACAGCGGCTTCCATGAAAGTTAGTTTGAGAGTTAATATTAAAACTCATTATTTTTCAGCTGAATGTGTAATAGAAATATAATTCGGGCCTCTTAACACGGTTAAGAAATACAGAATTTACAACTGAAAAAAGACAATACTTACCAGTTTGAAATTCCCACTCTTTGCTACTGTCACTGAACTTGCCACTCAGACTTAAGAAGCTTTTCACGCTGACCACATATGCTGAACTGGGATCCAGGTCTTGACCTTTTATTGCATAGTAATTTAGTCCATCAACTGTGGCTGGTTTGAAAGGTCCAGATGTCTAGTATGGAGGAACAAAAATGAGTTTGACAGTTGCCCATGTTTACATCTCCAGAACAAATAGTTACTGTGGCATTGTTCCTACCTTTTCTGTTTCTCCTTTTTTATAGTAAGTCACCACAGCAGTCATTTCATTGTTTATAAATCCCTCCATGTTTGACGTCCACATGACTTCAAATTTCCCTTCGAGTTCATTGACTGATTTGATTGTTGGAGTTTTTGGTTTTACTGTACAGAAACAGAAACAAGAGCATTAAAGTGAATGTTTGTTCGCCCGGTCTTTCTGGCAGATGCAGAGTTATGGGCTGTAATTTAAAAGGTCCTCACATACAAGGTCTTAAATAATCAGGCCCCATCTTATCTTAATGACCTTGTAGTACCATATCACCCTATTAGAGCACTTCGCTCTCGCTCTGCAGGCCTACTTGTTGTTCCTAGAGTATTTAAAAGTAGAATGGGAGGGAGAGCCTTCAGTTTTCAGGCCCCTCTTCTGTGGAACCAGCTTCCAGTTTGGATTCGGGAGACAGACACTATCTCTACTTTTAAGATTAGGCTTAAAACTTTCCTTTTTGCTAAAGCATATAGTTAGGGCTGGACCAGGTGACCCTGAATCCTCCCTTAGTTATGCTGCAATAGACGTAGGCTGCCGGGGGATTCCCATGATGCATTGAGTTTTTCCTTTCCAGTCACCTTTCTCACTCACTATGTGTTAATAGACCTCTCTGCATTGAATCATATCTGTTATTAACCTCTGTCTCTCTTCCACAGCATGTCTTTTATCCTGTCTTCCTTCTCTCACCCCAACCGGTCGCAGCAGATGGCCCCGCCCCTCCCTGAGCCTGGTTCTGCCGGAGGTTTCTTCCTGTTAAAAGGGAGTTTTTCCTTCCCACTGTCGCCAAAGTGCTTGCTCATAGGGGGTCATATGATTGTTGGGTTTTCTCTGTATCTATGAAGCGCCTTGAGGCGACTTTTGTTGTGATTTGGCGCTATATAAATAAAATTGAATTGAATTGAATTAAAGAAGTCAACATACTGTTCTCTGTGACACTGAAAACTTTTGACTCCGTGACGTTGCCATCTTTCCAGATAGTTGCTGTGTGAGTTTCTCCAAGCACAAGTATCAGTCGGAAGGAGCAACAACATTTTCCAGTGCCACACTGTTGTAAAAAGCAATTCTTCTTACTGTGGGAAATAATAATACAAAATGTTTAAAACAAATGATATTTATGACATCTTGTGCTAATTAAGCTAATATTACGTTTTTATGTACAGCATTTTCACCCAATGCCTCCATCCCACATTTTTATTTCCTCTAGCTTAGAAAAGCCAGTGTTTGAGTCTCACAAAATCACGGCTGGAAAATGAAAGCATTCCCCCTGAAATCCCAAGATGATCACTAGATAAAAGAGGAGTTGAAATGGAAGAGTTAGGCTCCATAGTGTGGTGGTTTACACCTTCGCCTAATAAACAAAAAAATGTGCTGTTTTATTCTGGGAGGAGACAACCCCTTACGGATCTCGAGAAAAACAAAACAAAACCAAAGCTCCAATAACATTGCTGCGGAGACCCCATGTCAATAAGGGAGCGGCCAAAGGAAGTGTACAAATACAAAAATCCACTAACAAGAAGTACAATATATATGTTCTTCACGTGAATGTTAATATTTATCATTTTATTTACTTTTATTTACTTTAGTTCAGCATTATAACATGCTTCACTTTCAGTTTGTTAGGATCATTTCTGTGAGGATCAGTCACCCCTAAAACAAGCAGGGACACAACAAACAACCAGCAACAATACTCCCGCATATCAGTCCAAATATGCATCCACATAATGAGTCAAAGCAAGTACAAACCCGCCGAAAGAACCCGCTGTTACAGTCCTTGCTCCGCACACTAAGTCGACAGTTCAGAGCCATTAACAAAAGCAGGATCCACTCAAAGTGACGCAGCTGGTTTAAATGTCATCAGGTTAATATTAAAATTAGACTAAAACCAAACAAAAACATCTCAGTCATACCCGTCTACACTCTGGAGAGTCAAACTGTACTCGGTGCAGTTTTGTAGCTCCAGCTGACACAACATCAGCTCGTCAAAGTCGTTGGTACAGTCAAGACTGGAGTTAGTTGTCTGATTATTTCCTGCACGAAACATAAATTATAAATTGTGGCTCCTTAGGATTTCACACATAGAACAATTAATTCGTTTACTGTGAGCTACATACCAAAGGGAACAGTCACGATGTGCCCTAAAAGAAGGAAGATAACAGAGATCCTGTTGCAGACTCGTCTGGAAAAGAAAAAGGGAAAGAGAGATCTTTTCTTTCAACAAACATGACGGATTCAGTAAGAAAGACAACTTCAAGTTATTCAGTTTACCTATTTGAATCCATTGTAAGATGACTAGTGCATTTTTTCTGCTATGGAAAATACACAGCTACGGTCTATATCCTGGGTACGCGAACGCTGCTTACGCCCGAGTCTCACAGTCTTCCTGTTATGGGAGCGATAGAAGGATATATTGCGCCACATTAGGGGAAGTCAGTCCTACTCACATTTCTTTAGAAAGACAGAACCGTGCGCATAAAGCCCACAACAGTAGCCGGGGTGCGGCGAGTCGACTTAAAACAGCTACTGAAATCCCAGTGTTTGTGTAGAGTGAGAAATTGGGTTGAAATTAAAACAAACACCCCCGACAAAAAAATAAATATAACAAATAAAAAAAATGGACATATGAAGATTTAGAGCAAACATTTAAAGCAAGCATCGATATTTTTCCTACCACATCACAGGCACCCGTTAACACGTCCCTCTGTACTGTGTTGTGTGGTTTCTACTCATGTCTCCTGTCTTTTCTCAGCTGTTAGCACATTGAGAGCATTTATTGTGAAAAGTGAAAGTGACTAATAGCATATGTTGGCCTATGCCCCACAGAGGAATGAATTATCTGACACAGCCGTATTGAATACGCTTAATGAAATCTATTTAATACTTCAACAAAAATATTACCAACTTTGTTGGTAATGACAGCTTTGAGGTGTCTTGTGTGGCCCGTTGTTCCACACAAACACTCTTCAAATTCTGAAGTTCTGTGGGCCTCTTTGATGAACTTTGAGCTTCGCTTCTTTCCACTGATTTTAAGATGGATTCAGGTCAGGTGATTGGCTGGGCTATTCTAGCAGATTTATTTTCTTTTTCAGAAACCCATTGAGAGTTTCCTCGGCTGTGTATTTGGGATCAATGTATTGCTGAAAGGACCCCCCTTATTTCATCTTCATCATCCTGGTCCATGGCAGCAGATTTTTATCTAGAATGTCTCCATACATTTTTCTATTTAGCCTTCTTTCAGTCATATGAAGAATGCCAGTGATGCTCTGAAAAAGAGCCTCACACCATGATATGCAGTGCCTGACCTCCAAACAATGTTTGTAGTAGGGGATCCAAAAAGTAAAATTTTCGTCTCATCTGGCCAGATTATACACGAGTGTATTTCACAGCCGTTTTTTTTTCTCTAAAAGTTGTTCCTTAAAATTTGAAAAAGCTTCAACATGCTTTTTCTTTAGCAATAGTCTTGTGTGGTGAATGTGCACACAGGCCATGGCAGTTGAGTGCATTACTTATAGTTTTCTTTGAAACCATTGTACTTCCTGCTTCCAGGTCTTTCTCCAGCAAGTGGCTTTTGACTTTTTGACAAATCTTTTGATAATTTATTTCACTCGATCTCTGAAATCTTGCAGGGATCACTTGGCCATGGCTGGTTTATGGTGAAATGATGTCCTCACCACTTCCGAATTATGGCCCCAACAATGTTTACTGGAACCTTCAGTAGTTTAGAAATTCTTCTGTAACCATTGTTTGTATGCTATGTACATTTGTTTTGCAATAATAGGGTTGCGAAGGTTGTGAGAGCGCTCACCATGTTTAATGAGAAAGCTTTTCAGAGACTATATGTTTGGACTGAACCAGCTAAACTTAATTTGTACTAAGTGAGAGTATTGCTTTCTAATTACTGATAGATTTCAGCTGGTGTCATGAAATCCCATGCTTTTTTTGCTTGCACCTCTCATTCTTCCTGTGTTGAATATTTTTTGCCTTAGTTATTTGTCATCATTACACATAACATTATGTGTGTGTTGGATTGGATGGGCTGCCTCTCTCTCTCTCTCTCTCTCTCTACACACACACACACACACACACACATATATATAAGGAGAAATCATTAAAATGAAATGAACATGATGTACAGAATTTAAATAAAGGTATTTAGTGGTTAGACTCTGATGGCGCGTCTTGGCGGAACGGTATCCCAGTGTTGATAGGGATTAGATCAGGACCACCTGGAGTTTAGACACTGGTGCGCGAGAGTACAAAATACTTGATGATGTAATGGTAGGTGCTAAACTTTGCCAAGATGGATCAGACAGAAAAAAGTTTTAGTTTTATTTTTCTGATTCATATATTAGACCAGATGCAATGTTGAGAAGAATTTGTGATCACATTTAAAAGGGAACACTTTTCAACTTCAGATGTACAGTATATACAAAAGATATCTGCAGTTCTACAGTTGTATTGCTCTACTGCATCATTTTGCACACTTTTAATCAATATATTCACAACTGTCATAAAATAAAATGTAACATTTTGCTTTGATGGGATCTTTATTTGAAAAAAGAAAACAACAACCAAAAAACATATTAATAGACATGTTATGATGCTACCTGTGCTACCTTTCTTTCTTTCTTTTTTTAACTAAATGTATTCTAAGTGACGTTTCCTTGTTTGAACACCAAATATGTCTTGTACTGTTCTTGTCCAAGAGTTGATCCTGAGTTAAACTAGAAGTGTTTTGGTAGTGTGGTGCCCTAACCCTAACCCCACTTTTAAATACACGGAGGGAAACAAGGAATAGCAAACAGGAGGGAGACACGGCTGAACCTAATTAACATGACGAAACAGGGATGGCGGAAAACTGAATACAGTGACACCAGACATGGACCTTCAAAATAAAACAGGAAATAGACAGACTGAACTTACAGACAGACTCAGAGACACAAAACAGAGAGAGCCAGAGTACAGGGACCAGAGTGACATGAGGAGCAAAGGAATCCAAAACCTACGAACTAGAAATACAAAACAGAAACCAAAACACTAGTAAACATGAACCAAGAAGAAACCACAGACTAATAAAAAATAATAATACAAAATCAAAACACCGGGTCACAGACCCAGGACCCTGACAGCAACCCTGCAAACTGTGATTTTGCATTTATCTTAGACTACAAAGTGTTAGCAGGCACCACTTTGACAGAGGAGCATCTTCCATTTTCTGTAATGATTCACGGTACACTGGATTAAGCAATATGTTTATGAAAAAGTATTAGCATAAGCTTACTGTATTCGTCCTAAACATTTACATTTTAGGAAGTGGTTTGTTTATTTCAAATAAAATCAGATGCTTTTTCTATGATTTTAGCTTAGCTTGTGTAATTTTACACTACACAAACAGCTTAATTTTCAAAGATGCCTCTGTCATAACAGCTCTGCATGAAACATGACAAGACAAGAAACAACAACAGCTAGTTATTCTGTAAATTTGACAGTTGATGAAAGATGAAATTTAGTAATCATAAGCTACAAGTCTGTGTTTGCTTTGCTCCTCTGTGCAAAATTTTTTAAGGTGATTCTTTCACATTAAACATGAAGCAGTGATTCATCGAAAGAGTGAGTGTGACACACGTTGATATTCCTTTAGTATTAGGTGAGTATGGATATCACAAGTGCTTAAACAACATAAAGAAAGTACGCTGAAGCATGGCGAGGTGGCAGGCAGGCAGGTGCATGAGAGGCAGAATGATGTGCCAACCACAGCTATATAATCGGGGAACAGAGAGCCCAGGAGTTCTCAGATGGCACTGATGAGCCTTTCCCCGCAGGGGTCATCAAACCTGTCAGTAGACATTGCAGAGAAAAGGATGGTTGGATTGTATTATGGGTGTGGATAACTCAACCTGGAGAACTAGACTGGGCTTAAGAGGCTTTGAGCGATAATGGTGAACTATGATGTAAATGTTTCACATCAACAAGAAACCCATCGTTGACATTTAATATTCTTCTTTTGGCTGCCTCCTGAATGGCTCATCTGCCTCCATCTCCTGCTGTTGCATGAATACTCCTCTCATACTAGTGAGTCTTCTTCACATCATCCACACTTTTCGTCTCCATATTACATTCTTTGTCCAACATATCCCTCCTTTCACTATCGCTCCCCTACACATGCATAAACCATCTCAGCCTTGCTGCTCAAATTTTTTTGTCTCCAAAACCCTTATATCAAATAAGTATTTTTTATTGGCATACTTTATGTATAAAATAATAAGGGTGTGATATCTTGTTGTATCTTGTAACATATACAGCATAAAAAGTGACCAGAAGATGTGTTGTAAGCTTCCACTCAAAATTTAAATAGGTGGAAAATGTTGAGAAAGAAAGTGTTGCAATGTGGCATAATCATGCTAGGCTGTGGTTGCGCCTGTAAAAAAATGAAAAAAAGTTTTAGTTATTTTCTCCTTTTTTCATATATTATATTATCTGTTGTTACACTGTGAATGTGTTCCATTAATGTTTTTAAAGTGTGGACTGAAAAATATGAAAAAAGGTCCCACAAATTTAGGAGGGGAATTGAAAGAAGCTCAGTTTTGGTTTGTGATTTGTCCGGTGCTGAAATATATATAAAGAATACACACTACCAGTCAGAAGTTGGGACATACCTTTTCATGTAATTATTTTTATTTTTTTCTACATTGTAGATACATACTGAAGACATCAGAGATATGAAAAAAGATATATGGAATTATGCAGCAAAGAAAAAAAAACTTTAAATATGTTTTATATTTTAGATTCCTCAATGTAGCCACCTTTTACTCTGTTGGCAGTGCTGCAAACCCTTGGCCTTCTCTCAACGAGCTTCATGATGTAGTCACCCGAAATGGTTTTCACTCTACAGGTGTGGCTTTAGGGTTCATTTGTGGAATTTCTTGCCTTCTTAATAGGGTTGGGAACATCAGTTGTGTTGTGCAACAGTTAATGGTTAACTATTGGATACATTTGAAAGGTCATAAAAAAATCAATCTGTTAAGAAAGTGTTAGGAAATTGTTGGGAGAGGGGAAAGGATTTTAAAAATAGTTTTGGGTGGGTTGGGGATGATAGAGCTGGAGCATTTAAAGTATATGACAAAGAACATTATTGTTGCCTTTAAGGCCTACATGGAAATGGAAATACATTAAGGTAAATAGATCATTATATATTAAGAATATTAAGAAGAGGAAATTTACAACAGATATTTGTCAAGAATTTTATAATAGATTGGAGAACAAGTACAGTGACTATTTACAGTCACCACAGAAGTCATTTCATTGTTTATAAATCCCTCCATGTTTGACGTCCACATGACTTCAAAATTCCCTTCGAGTTCATTGACTGATTTGATTGTTGGAGTTTTTGGTTTTACTGTACAGAAACAGAAACAAGAGCATTAAAGTGAATATTTGTTTGCCCGGTCTTTCTGGCAGATGCAGAGTTATGGGCTGTAATTTAAAAGAAGTCAACATACTGCTCTCTGTGACACTGAAAACTTTTGACTCCATGGAGAAAGTACATATTAACACTAATGCAAATAACAAATGTGCGTGCACTCTCTGGAACGTAAATAGAAGGACATGACATCATAGTAATTCTGTTGTTTTGGAGAAAAATTCAAATGAACAAACTGAACCTTCACAGCAAAGTATGCATCGCTTTGCTTTTGAGATATTCAAGGATCTTTTATATTTGAATACAGGACATTGTAGTTCAGCTTTAATGTTACAATCTGAGGAGCTCATCTCCACTTTTCTCTGGAGACAGCGGCTTCCATGAAAGTTAGTTTGAGAGTTAATATTAAAACTCATTATTTTTCAGCTGAATGTGTAATAGAAATATAATTCGGGCCTCTTAACACAGTTAAGAAATACAGAATTTAAAACTGAAAAAAGACAATACTTACCAGTTTGAAATTCCCACTCTTCGCTACTGTCACTGAACTTGCCACTCAGACTTAAGAAGCTTTTCACGCTGACCACATATGCTGAACTGGGATCCAGGTCTTGACCTTTTATTGCATAGTAATTTAGTCCATCAACTGTGGCTGGTTTGAAAGGTCCAGATGTCTAGTATGGAGGAACAAAAATGAGTTTGACAGTTGCCCATGTTTACATCTCCAGAACAAATAGTTACTGTGGCATTGTTCCTACCTTTTCTGTTTCTCCTTTTTTATAGTAAGTCACCACAGCAGTCATTTCATTGTTTATAAATCCCTCCATGTTTGACGTCCACATGACTTCAAATTTCCCTTCGAGTTCATTGACTGATTTGATTGTTGGAGTTTTTGGTTTTACTGTACAGAAACAGAAACAAGAGCATTAAAGTGAATGTTTGTTCGCCCGGTCTTTCTGGCAGATGCAGAGTTATGGGCTGTAATTTAAAAGGTCCTCACATACAAGGTCTTAAATAATCAGGCCCCATCTTATCTTAATGACCTTGTAGCACCATATCACCCTATTAGAGCACTTCGCTCTCGCTCTGCAGGCCTACTTGTTGTTCCTAGAGTATTTAAAAGTAGAATGGGAGG